GAGAAGTTGTTTTGTACTGGTGAGTTGTGCGAGTTGTTTTTATAAGAACAATAAAAGGAAAGGGGGACATGGTCTGGAATGGGCCATGGAGGTATAATATTTCTTTGGCAGAACTGAAAACGAATGTAATGGATTGACAATCTGGATTAATGTCTGTTTACAAAGGCTGGACAAACGTTATAGAAACCCTTGTGGAGTTGTTCCCTTTCCAATAAATCAACGAGGCCAGTATATTGGGTTCACTTTGCCAACTGATCGTTTTACAACAACATTTCATGGACATTGAAAGAATGTCAGTGCGTGGGAGAGATATGTGTCACGACGCCGTGGAATCAGGCACTCGTCAATTTTTGGGCATGTGTTATCATCTGAAAGCTGATTTATTTGCCTTACTTCCAATGAAATAAATCTGATTTATTTTCCTTACTTCCAATGAAATAAATATCCATTTATCTTGAATAGAACTACAGATATTTCCGATTGAAGAAAATGGAGTTGCCTGGTTTCAGTGAAGTTAGCGAGAAAATGGCCGCAAAAGTTGTGTAACTCCAATAGCTAAAGAGTCTTTGAGAACTAAAAAATTACATATTTTGTGCCTTAAATCAACGTTTATAATATAAACTTTATAAGTAAAATTCACAAGCAAATGTGTTAAGCCAAAAAATAAAAATTCGATAAAAATTCCTAAACCTGCTGAAAAAAAAGTGTCTTACACTTTCATTATTTTGACGAGCGCCTGATTTCACCATGCTGCCTCACATACAGATCTGACGAAAGGGAAAAAGAATGACTTCTTTGAGGTGGAGGAGCGAAGGGCGAGTTTGTTGAAGTATTTTTTTACTGGCAATTAGGGTGTATTGGTTACCGCCTTCGCTCTAGGGTTCGATTTTCGAATGAGAGAGGCGCTTTGTCGAGCATGCCTGCTTGTTATCCACTGAGATGCTGTAGCCCAAAAGGTTGACTTTGACAGGCAGGATAGAAGCAGCGCGTCTCTTAACCCTATCCGTACGTCGTGTTTTGCTACGTGGGGAACTCTGCGCCACCACTTCCAAACAGGAAATTTACTCGTTAATAATCCGCTTTGCATTATTGCAGTCTGTCAAAATAATTTTTTGAGAAATACTGAAAGTTTCACCGAGATCTTCGTACTAGAAGTATTCTAAAATGTAAGAGATACAACCCCGGGATACAAAATTACCCCAGGGCGTACGGAGAGGGTTAAACAATTTAAATCTAAGGTTGTCAAACTCGCGACCTGCGGGCCAGTATGAATAACATCGAAAAGTGATGCCCGATCGAAAGATTGGTTGATAAATTTCTCCTTCAACGTAAATTTTGACCCACTGCCCTCAGCGGTAATTTTGCAACAGCTCTCGCGGGGGAAGGACAGTCATTGATTTTTCATCTTTGGAGCAAGGATCGAAAGCAGTATAGACTCTCTATGGAATTCTCATCGTTGCCTGTATTATCAGTTTGATCAATCGTCAGGTCCTTGGGGCATGTCAGTTTTCAGCACTTAACAAATCGGGATAAGACGACTCGTGCGTGTGTTATTGGACTGTAATTGGCGGGTGGAGGGGGAAGGAGAGGGGGAGGAAGACCTGAGTCTGGAGGAGGGGTTTGGTGTCAGAAGAGTTTTCAGGGTACTAAGCACCCTACCTTTCAGATGTCATTGCCGTCTTCAAGTTCAAAACGAGGTCGGTACACAGAATTCTACACTTATAGAAGCGGAACTTCCTCTTTGCGATCGCTGATTCGCTGTGAGGAATTGAAACTAAAACATGACGGCCTGTTGAGGGCACCTTTGGCTGCGCGCACAGCGAGGCTTCGCGTTGCTATGCACGCTGATGCTAGTGGTAGGGCTTGGAAGACACCTTACATCAGTATTTTAAAACTTTCTTCGAAGAGGAAATATAGTGAAATAGTCTAGTACATTTTTATTGCCAACAATATGTCATAATGGCAGTGTTACAATGTTTTTGTATTTTTGTATTGTTGGTTTGTTGGTTTTTTTTAATGATGGGATGGGATCTAGATTCTAGATCTAGATCTAGATCTAGATAGATCTGCTCTAGATCTACTAAAGATCTTCACAATCACAATACACTTAATAATAACACTAATTATGAACATTAATTCTGTGGCAAAATATCTAGATAGAATCTAGTCTTGATTAGTACTAGATCTACGATAAAGGGGATGCTGACAGTAACATGCTCACTACAATAGTATTGTCATTAAACTTAAGGCCATCCAAAGCAAGCAAAAAAGAACAATATAAGCCTTTTCTCCAATTTACTAGAAAGAGCTAAATAAATTGAGCTTATATTGAGGAAATGTATTATTTCTCACTTTAAGAATTCATCTCTGTCTGTGTTTGCATCAGTAGTGTGTACAACAACATGCTTTGTATAAAGCACGTCCGAGTCTAACAAAACCAAGAGATTGGAGAATGTGTCGGTTGCACATATAAAATACATAGGCCTATTGTACATGCTGCCAAAAACACAAAAATGCAGAAAAGGCCTCAAAATATTGGTTTACACATAAAAGCCAATAATGTAAAACAAAGTAAACAAGAGTGGAACTGGCATATGTTTCCTGAATATATATGTTCAAAGTCATTTTCTGTGTGTTGGGAGTGTGATTTCTAATGCATGAATGATAGGCTCATTCAGATGTGATAATGAAGAAACTTGTGTCTACAGTCACAACAGAAAGAGTTCCATGGTGAGTGATGGTCAAGGATTTCAGAGCTGTGTGCATTTTGAGAAAATTAATGTATCCCCATACCCTGGATCACATGTCGAGGGGATGGGCATGTCCCCCTGTAATCCCCGCACACAGTAAACAAACACATATTTTTGAACACGAATTTATATAAGAAAAAATAAGTGGTCTCTTGTTACGGATCAAATTGAAGTCCTGTTTCAATTCGATTAATTGATAAAAGTGCGTATCGCAATGCGTTGGCCACCCCTGCCCTATAGGCCTATGCTATTTAATAAATACATTCGTCAGACCTGGAATATTTAATTTTAATGCCCGCACACAGTAAAAAAAAAACACACATTTTTGAACACGTATAATATAAGAAAAAATAAGTGGTGTCTTGTTACGGATCAAATCGAAGTCCTGTTACAATTCAATTAATTAATAAAAGCGTGTATCGCAAGGCATCGGATAATAATAATAATAATAATAATAATAATAATAATAATAATAATAATAATAATAATAATAATAATAATAATAATAATAATAATAATAATAATAATAATAATAATAATAATAATAATAATAATAATAATAATAATAATAATAATGGCTAACCCAGCACTATTACGCTATTTTATAAATACATTCGTCAGATCTGGAATCTTTAATCTTTAATTTTTAATCCCCGCACACAGTAAACAAACACACATTCATGAACACGTATAAAAAAATAAGTGGTCTCTTGTTACGGATCAAATTGAAGTCTTGTTACAATTCAATAATTGATAATAGCGCGCATTGCAATGCATTGGCTAACTCAGCATTATACGCTATTTAATAATACATTCGTCAGATTTGGAATCTTAAATTATAATCATAATTATATGTGCCCGCGCGTGGGAACTGTAAGTGAAAGGAATTGAAAATGCTTTCAAAAACAATTATGAAAGTAACATAATTAAAGTAGGACTACATGTGCTTATAAAGGCCCAAAAAGGTGTATGGATGCGGAAATTAATGTTTAGGATGAAAATAATACGCTATCTCTACTACTGTAACATGCGGTCAAAAATTTGATGCGCAACTTATTATCAAATATCTAGGCTACTGAACTATCGAACACCTAGATCTAGATTCTCCTACTTTTACACAATGACTTAGAAGATCTATATCAGTTCGTCTTAACCGATGAGTATTTTTTTCAAACATTTGTACACATCCATAGGTTCTATATTATTCTAGAAATTTCTGTAAAGAAAATTCTTTAATAAATACTAGCCCAATATTTTTTTTAAAATCCCAGTCAATGGTTTCTACAGATTTTTAAAAAGTTTATAGCTGGAGCTAAATCTCTTTTAAAAGCAAGTCCGTCCTTTTTCCTACTTCTGCTGGCGACATAAAGCTAATTATGGAACGCATGTTTTGAGAACATTAATTAGATCTAGTGAAAAAATATGTTCAGTGTAAAACAAATTTCTTGTAACAAGTTTTGCTATTAAAAATTACGTAGGCCATATATATATGCGTATGCAAAATGTGTGTGGGAAGCTATCCGTGTTACAAATTTTTTCACAGTTCTGTAGATCTTGTTTTTATAAACTCTCTATGTCTGCTTTTTCTGTTGTTGCACCCAAAAACACCTCAATTTAAAACCTTAATTCCAATCTCTACGTAGCACAGTGAATTCTGTAACTCAAAATTACAAACTTGACAGTAAATGTTCCACTTTTCACTCGTTTGTAAAAGCCGCTCTTGCTTTAAAAGCTATAAGGTTACTTCCGAAAACGATAAATCGTGCCCTCAAGACGCCATTGTTTTCGGTCTTCAATTCCTCACAGGTCACGTGGTACAGTTCCCGTTCTATAAGTGTAGAATTCTGTGGGTCGGTACAAACTATGGATGGGGTCGGCCAATCGGGCCGATCGCCCGACTCGATCGCCTCAAAAACAAACGTGTTTGTTTTCAGTTTCAGGCCATCGAGTCTGGCGATAGGCCCGATCCAGCCGTAGTGAGCACCCCGTATTACAATAGCGATTTATAACGGTTTCTTGAAAATCGTTTGAAAGGCCAAGGCATTTTTAAACCTTTCTGATGTGAAAGAGAGAAGAGAGAAAAGCTATTCCACAATATTTTTAAACTACTTAAATAGCATGATGACACCTGATTTTCTTTCAGGATCCACAGATCGTCCCGGCATTGGTTTTAGAGCAAAACCAGCGTTAACCTATTTCATCCATTTACATGGTTAGGGAATAAAAACGTCGTTTTGTTGTTTTTCACAGATTGTGAGAAAATCACCAAGAGAAGCGCCGAGCGGGAGCACAACATCACCAAACTTCTGGCCGTCATCACAGCCATATTCGTGATCTCCTGGTCCATCTCCTGGGCGGTCATCTTGACCACAGCCTTAGCCCCGCCCACTGACACAAGCACGACGGACGTGAGGCGGAGCATGGCCGCTCAGCTGTTCCTGGTGAACCACTTCTCCAACATCATGGTGTACACGGCTCTCAGCCAGTCGTTCAGGGAGAAGCTGCTACAGTGTCTACAGATCCTGAGGTAAACGTGTGGAAGTGGCTACTCTCTTGAGGTAAACGTGTGGAAATGGCTACTCTCTTGAGGTAAACGTCTAGAAGTGGCTACTCTCTTGAGGTAAACGTCTAGAAGTGGCTACTCTCTTGAGATAAAGGTGTGGAAGTGGCTACTCTCTTGAGATAAACGTCTAGAAGTGGCTACTCTCTTGAGGTAAAGGTGTGGAAGTGGCTATTCTCTTGAGGTAAACGTGTGGAAGTGGCTATTCTCTTGAGGTAAACGTGTGGAAGTGGCTACTCTCTTGAGGTAAACATCTGGAACTGGCTATTGTCACCAGGAGGGAGAGAGAATAGCCTGTCTCCCCGTGTCTCGCTATTCTCACCCCCCCCCCCCTCATCAGGTGTGCTATAGCACAGACACACACAGTACAGCACAGAGAATAACTTATAAGTTGTTGTACAGACCTAGATAAGTTTCAGGTTTAGTTTATTTAATGGGCTGGATGAAGGCCATTTCACACCATGAACAACAAACAACAGGGAAAAAAAATAACAAGCTACACTAAATCTAGATCTAGATCTAGACCTAGACCTATGGTTATAATTATAATATGCAATGACAAGATGTCTAGAGCATAACGCATCTGATCTACCGATACTCACAAATATAGCCTAATTTTAAGAAGGCTATTCGATTGGGGTTGTTTTTTTTTTAATTAAGGCTATCTATGGCTACGGCAATCAGTAGTTGGCCTAGATCTACATGAAGAAACATGCCCACACCGGGGTGGGGATGAGAATAACGGGTGAGTATATTTTCACCTCTTGAGAATATAATTGGCGGCCTAAAGGTCTACTTGATATACCCCCCATCTCCACCCCCCCCCCCCACCCCCACTCCACCCCTCAAAAAGATTGTTAGAATAAGTAAAAAGACTCTTTCACACATGATGTCACGAGAGTTCATATGTGGCTCCCACAAAGAGAGTATGTGGTGTGTGTGTGTGTGTGTGTGTGTGTGTGTGTGTGTGTGTGTGTGTGTGCGTGTGTGTGTGTGTGTGTGTGTGTGTGTGTGTGTGTGTGTGTGTGTGTGTGTGCGTGTGTGTGTCAGGGAAGGTGGGGGGAATCATGTAGGAACCTGGATGTGTGTATTAGACAGTCAAATCCGAGTCGGGGGGTGGGGGTGGGGAGGCTTAAGTAGACTTTCACAGATCCTGAGATTATCTACAGCGAGAGTATCACGTGACTTTTGGCAATGAATTGTTAGGACGAATATCTATTATTGTGCTCGTATTATGTGTTTGTTAATTTGAACTTGATTAAATAAATAGTAAATGTTCACGCCAGCATCGACACAATATAAACTATTTAGGAGGCTGGCTGCTTCGACCTTTTCTATCGATGCCCATCCAGGCTGAGTGAAATACAGTATCCCAACGAACAGAAGAAAATACAACACGAACACCCTTACTCGGTAATCGAACTTGTATATTTAGCGTAAAAAAGTGAAGCGCCCAACAGTTATTCCAGAGACACCAGTTAGCGCTATCCGACACCCTGGGGTTACTGTGTACCCCCGGGGTTGTATTCTTCACATTGTCATTTTAGAATACTTCTAGTGCGAAGATCTCTTTGAAACTTTCAGTATTTCTCAAAATATTTTTAACAGATTGCTATGCAAAGCGTTCGGATCGGATTTACGAGTAAATTTCCTATTTGGAAAGTGGTGGCACAGAGTTCCCCACGTCTTATGGATACGATAGTAAAACACAACGTACGAATAAGGTTAAGATAGGCTGGCACCTACCGGTTAGCAGGCCAAGCCTAGTCTGTATTGCTTCAGGAAAGAAAAACCAGGAATACTTGGTTTTTGACCTGCTAAACATTCCTGCTATGGTTTTATTTTATCGCATTGTTCCACGAAACCGATACTAAGTCACAAAGAAATATTATTTGTACGTGGATGAAGTCTCCCGAAAGGACAAAGAATTTAACAACGTAAATGTATAAACTTACTGATAAAATGAAACGTATAAACTTACTGATAAAATGAAAAAGATGGCTTTTGTACAGATTACAGTACTTAGAACTCTTTTAATTTCCTAAGTAGGTTCACTTTTTTTTCAACCGATTTATTCAGTAACTACTCTTTTATGTTTGGGCGGTTCAAACTCCTATAATAGGATGCCTTCGCTATCCCATACATTTAATTTGAAGATCAGTTACAGCACATGCCCGGAGTGATCCTACACGTTCTCTAACTTTTAGTCCCGGTAATCTCTTGGTAATTATTACTTTAAAGTTAATTAATATTAATTGATATTATGTCCCCACCCAGTTTTGTTGAGCAATGTAAGGAAAACAATTACCAATAGTAGTAATTATTAGTTTTTTGACATCGTTATACAAAATATGTTGCTAGAAAATCGGGTATCTGATAAATGTATTCCAGACAAAACCTGCGGTGTCACATCCAATTAATTACGTTACCGGGACAAAGGGTGGAATGTTATAAATTTTTGAGAATCCATGACATTTGGCAATCGCATCAAAAGCCTGGAATGGCACTAGAGTTTGAGGGGTGCCTTGAAAAGAAGAATAAAAACAAAAATGTTTAAGTGCATGAGGACAGTACGGGGAGGTTATATTTCGCAAGTGTGTCTCCATGAACTCATCATTTTACATGGTCGCTTATAAGCACACGGGGGCTATCCCGAGAAGTGCTGTTTTGAGAATATCGAAGATAAAGTTTTTGCCCCGTCTTCAGTTTCTTTAAAAGTAACTACTCTTTTATGGAAAGATGCATTTTGTACAGATTACAGTACATAAAACTTTACATTTCCTTAATAGGTTCACTTTTTGTCAACCGATTTATTCAGTAACTACTCTTTTATGTTTGGGCTGTTCAAATTCCTATAATAGGATGCCTTCGCTATCCCATACATTTAATTTGAGGATCAGTTACAACGCATGCCCGGAGTGCTCTTACACGTTCTCTACCTTTTAGTCCCGGTAACCCCTGGGCAATTATTACGTTAAAGTTAATTAATATTATGCCCCCACCCAGTTTTGTCAAGCAATGAAATAAAAACAATCACCGAAAGTAGTCATAATTAATTTTTTGACATCGTTATACAAATTATATCGCTAGAAAATCGGGTAACTGATAAATGTATCCCAGACAAAACATGCAGTGTCACGTCCAATTAATTACGTTACCGTGGGATGTTATTTATTTATTTGAGAATCCATGACATTTGGCAATCGCATCAAAAGCCTAGAATGGCACTAGAGTTTGAGAAGTGACAATTGTTCGAGTGCACGGGGACAGTGCAGGGAAGTTATGTTTCGCAAGTGCGTCTCCGTGAACTCAAATATGGCCGCTTGTAAGCACACGGGGGCTATCCCGAAAAATGCTGTTTTGAGAAAATCGAAGGTAAAGTTCTTGGATCCTTATTCAGTTTCTTTAAAAGGCAAGGAGAGTTTTCTCTATAACCAAACAAATATACACACCAGTGAAACCATACTTCTCCTATAGGTAGGGCAATGCCAATTTTGGTGTAGGTCAAGATTTCTGGAAACCCCAAAATCTGGGTTAGCCCGCATGTCCTTAAAAACGACCATTTAATTGTATGTGTTTCTTGCGAGAAAGAATGTATCAATTTATGTGTATAATTATTCTGTGTGTGCGCATGTATGTGAGTTTTTTGCATGTGTGTCAGGAAGGTTCGGGTGGGGGGATTGGAGGAGGTCGCGATAGCTTGTGAGCGTAGGTGTTTGGTATGTTTGTGTGCGTGTTCATGTAGAAACTATCTTAAAATCTGATGTTAAAGTTTGTTTTATTTGAACAAACATCGACTGGTTTATCAAATGATGACATGTTGTACTGAATTATTGATGGTGTTGGACAAAAGAAACTCTACCCGACTAACTGGCTCGCGGGAAAATTAGATTTTCTTTAAGGGGGAAAGAAAGAAGAAAGACAAAGAAGGAGGAAAATATTGGGATTCCAAGTCTGTAGGAAGAGGGAGTTGGGCTGGAGTTGTAGGAGGCATGAGGTATTAAATAGCTGAGCTGGTCAAAAGAAAGATCTAAACAGTTTTTCGACGACAATCATCAATATTTGAAAACTTTAGATCTCATGCTTGAGGCCTTCTTTTTCTTTCCTTGCTTTTTTAATGGGTGGGGTGGTCTTTGTTACGTGTATATTTTTTGTTGGTTTTTTATTCTTGGGGTGGGGGGGGGGGTATTTTTTTTGGTTTTGAAGGCTATGAGAGAGAGAGGGGGGGGGGAGAGAGAGAGAGAGAGAGAGAGAGAGAGAGAGAGAGAGAGAGAGAGAGAGAGAGAGAGAGAGAGAGAGAGAGAGAGAGAGAAAGAAGAGAGAGAGAAAAGAAGAAGACATTGATTTGCCTTAGAGTAAGGGAGGAGTAGAAGCCAAATCGATTGGGTATTCACTGGGTTTTTGAACTTGCTGGAAGTTGTGTTTTTTTTACTGGAAACTTATTTTTTCTTTCTTTATGTCTGCAATTGCTGCTCATCTGTTTGTTATCTTGTTGTTTGTTTCTTTGCTTGTTTCTTTGTTTGTTTGTTTGTGTGTGTGTGTGTGTGTGTGTGTGTGTGTGTGTGTGTGTTTTAACGATAAAATCTAGGCGCCTCTGGGTCGATGAACGAATGGAGCAATGCATCGTTTTGTCATCTAGTGGCAGCTGGATGAGTTTTATCTATCTCTGTTGTGTATTGATTGTTCAATATCTGATTGTTTTGTCTGTTTGTTTGTTGTTGTTTGGGGTTTTTTGTGTGCGTGTATTTGTTATGGGAAAAGGATATGCTTCCTTAAACACTGCAACTGCTTGACCTGAACAGAAAGCAGGTGAATGTCAAATCACAGACGGTATAAGACCGTTTGTATGATAGAGAATCTCATATAATACAACCCCCAAACAGCTAACTAAAGGATACCATTGCAGGCTGAGAGCATTCAGTTAATAATAATATGTGTATCAAGAGATAATAATAGTTTCATTTGTTTTGTTCATTTATGGCGCAATGTAGACAATGGGTCTTGCGTTGAAATATGAACCCGTACGTTTACAATGTAATAACATCACTGATTGGTTTCCTCTGTATGGCTCAATGTCAAAGCTCCACAACAATGCACGTCATCCTATTCTGCCATATTGTTCTATTATGTCCTACGTTGTTGCTATTTTTCTTCATAACTGAATGTGGTTGCTGACCCGTCTGCCCTTTGCATGTCTTTACTTTTTTAATAAATTAGTCCACACTTTTAAAAAAGTATATTGCATTTTTTAAATCAATAAACTATTGGAACAGTTGACAGTTCTTTTGTTTGTAATTTAGTTTCTTAGATATTTGTTTTGTGTTTAAAAAAGATGTTCGTATTTTAAGTTCTGGACTTGAAGAGTAAATTGATCTAATCCTAATCCCGTTGAATTATTTGCTGCTGCCCTTGACCCTTTGGCTTTTTTTTCATTAAACGATGACAATTTTGAGGTCCAGGTTTCGCCGTCATGGTCTTTATCTTTTTAATTATAAAAATGACAGAAAAAGTTTTCAAGTTTTTGTTAGTTAGTTGCAACTGCATCTGTTCAAGTCAAATGATACGTGGTTTCTTGGAAAATAAAAGCCAATCTAGTTCTCTTTCGCATACGCCTCTTTCAACACTGTAAGAATAAGAGGCAAAACCTCCAAAGTAAACGTTCATCTCGGATACCACCGACCAAATGGGAGAAGAGCCTTCAAAGCACAACCCACACCCCCCTTCTCAGTTCAGAACAAAGATTGGGATTCGAACTTGACCTACCCACTCTGTAGCCTACTGCCCTCTGATCTGGGCAGGCTTCTTTGCATTCAAATGTCCTGTTA